TGCTACAATTTTGGGACTTACCATGATATTCTGCATATCTGATTCCACTGAATTCCCAAGTTGCAATTCACGGTATTTTGGCCCAGGTTTAAGACCAAAGGCCTTAGCTTTCTCAGGATCAAACTTTCCTTTGATCTCAGGCAATTCACAAATATATAGTACAGACATATCACCAGGCTTTCCAGTAGGCTGTTTTAAGATGTTGGATGAGCCAAGATGCTCTGGGCTATGACTCATCCTCTCTTGTAATTGGTACTCTGAAGTTACCAAAGGTGGATCCTCAGAGTGGTTTGGTTGTAAAATAATGGCTGATATTTTGACCACTTCATTATCAACAAGAACAATGGGATCTGAAAACTTATTTTGACCTAGAATAGTGGACTCCTCATCACTGGAGATGGGACCAAAGCTCCTTGTGTGAACCATGGCAGCATTGGGAATAAAAGATCCCATAGCGTTGATCAAATATTTAAGATCTGACGGGCCCCATATGTTGACCTGCAAAATAGCAGTAATTATGAAGTAGCAAAAATGAAAATACAATGCAATATTATATTGTATTTGAAAATAAGATATGGCTGATTTTATGAAGTTGATTGGTTACTTACAGTCATCCCCTCTTCTCCCATGCCAGCCAAAGTAAGTAGTAAGCCTGTGAGTTGAAGACTGCAATAAGTACTTTAAGACTCTACATGCAGTTATTTGAATCACAAATCAAAATATTGTCAAAGATGCTAGGCTAGAATAGCTAACAAATGATAAGGATAATGACTAAGGGCCCATATGCTTAAGCTTAAAAAATAAATAATTTTTAGATGCTTTAGAGATTTTATGAAAAATGATTTATTGTGTAGAGATTATATAAAAAGCATAGATTATTTTGATTTGGTTACAATCATAAAAAGTGATTATTATTTAGTGATTTTCTTATTTTATGATATCTTGGTGTATCTTTATTCATGAAAAATGATTAATTATTTAGTTATTTTCAATTTATAATATTTCTGTGTATCTCTGTATTTTTATGATATTCTCCCTCATTTATCATATTTGATTAGTTTGAGAACCTACTTTGAATAGCTTCTCAAAATTATCAGACATTTTTAGATTCTGATTATTTTCAATGGTTGAAACAATCATCATGAAATTTCACAGAAGTCATCTTTATTCAAAAAAAATAGGTGATTTTTTCATTGAAAAAAAATAGCTTAAACATAAGGATCCTAAAACTACATTATCAAATGTCAAAGACAGACCTGGAAGTCCACCTGCAGTCTCTGAACAGACACGAGAAAGAAAAATGTGATCTATCTGAGGGAAGATAAAAGATTATAGGAAACTTAAAATTGTGAGTAGTTAACAAGCTGATAATTAACAATTGTAAAAGAATAATTCTGAGAGGGAAAAGGGTCAAGTTCCCAGATTTATCAAACCTTGGATAACTTGATCTTATGCTCTGTGCAAAACCGTTGCAGTCCCTTAAATGCATAAAATATAATTAGTTCATTGAACCCTTGCAGGTGGTCATCAAATTTCTAAAGACAAATATAAAAAAACAGAAAAATAAGTTTTGTTGCATTACATTATTCAAAATATTCAGAAACATCACCTCCTCAGATTAAAGTGATACATTAAACTTTCACCCTCTAAGGTCAAATCCTCAAGGCCAAGGAAAGGCATTTTCTCCAAAGGACCAAAAATATATTAATATTTTCTAGGATCGTGGAAACAAACCCACCAAACACCTCTTGGCAATAATAGGCAAAATGCAAGCAGTTCAGTTTTTATAATGAAAAGGAAAAAAAGTCTCATAGAATTTCACACAATTTGGATAGACTACTTACCTCTCCAGCATTAAATATAAACCTTTGATTGTCAAAGAAAAGCAGGACTGAAGGTGATGTATCTTGAGTATCCATTCCAGTACCTAATATCTGTGGTTGGCACATAATCCAAAAAGAATATATAAGACCGGGGGGAAACTTGAAAGTGAAAATAACACTGAACCAACAGAACCGCCTTCTATTAGATTTACATTTGTCAGTGTAAGACAGCATATGTGATTTCACAATGAAAGCTAGTAACTTTCTTTGTTACAGAAGGAAAAGGGAAATTTTCTATATAGAATTTTTGGGCTGGTATCATTGACAGTTTCACCTATACTTTCTAAGAATATCTCAGTTGGGGGGCAGTGGTGAAGCTTTTCCTTAAGCAAGAAAATTTCTCATGAGTTTCCATCTTTGGGAATAAATATCAGAATTTCCTTCTCTAATTCTCCCATAACTTAGGTCTTGCCATGACTTTTTTCCTTTTTTGGCCACGGGATCTTGCAATGAGGACATCTGCTTTCATTAAGTAACAAAGTTTCTATGCAAGATAGACAACCAAACACACTAAAAGGAGGATAGAATCGCTGTTCCCTTTCCTGAGGCTGAAATTCCAGCACCAAATGGATCCTTATATATGATACCCTAAGAGAGTGGGAGAATAATCAAAATTAAAACAGGCTAGAAATTTTCACGCCACTAACAATCTAAGCGGCATTACAAAATCCGACAAGAGCATGTAGGACGAGGGGAATAATTGCAAGTGAAAATAGCTGCTTTCTACAGTATGTCAAATACAAAGAGAGTAAACTTCTGATAGAGACAACTCAAGTAAGCAGTGTGGACATTAAAATCAAGCACGCAGACCAAGTTTTAAGAACTAGTGAACGAAATTCAGAGTGTCATACAACAAAATGTAGAGCCCATATAAAAAAAATGCTCAAGTTTATGCCCACCAATCCACTGCTAGGTGTGTGTGTGTGTGTGTGTGTGTGTGACAGAAAAGAATACGGAGAACCCAAAAATGGTCTGTTATTGCCGGTAATATGAAAGTAACCCAATTTTCAAAAAAAAAAAAAAGTTTAAACAAATAAACAAGGAAAGAAAGAAAGGAACTAGTATACCTGTACATAAGATATGGTATTGACAGGATTTAGCTTGCGAACTTTCAACTGGAGGTTCTTCTTAGGCAAAGCACTCGAATCTCTACCCTCGGCTCTTCTCTTGTTGAAGCCTACAGAATCGACGTTCTCCATTGCCGAGCCTTTGTCCCTGACTTTGCTTTCTCTAGCACTACTAATGCTTCTGCGGCCAAGATGACGGAAAGGGGCGTTACGTTGTGGTCTTGAAGAGGAGGAGGAGGAGGAGGCAAGAACGGTGAAGAGAGATTGCGAGGTTCTAGGTTTGAAGAACAGACGAGAAGAAATGTAAGGGGTTAAGGGAGATAGAGAGGGAAGGAAGAGGCGAAAGGTTAAAGGTTGGGGCATTGTGTTTCATCGGACTCTTAAATCTGTCCGAAGGGTTTTGGCCTTGCAACGATAACCTGTTAAGATCCCGCCAACGCGCCTGTGTGCTCCTAGAAGCAATCAATCTCAGCTATCCACCCATGAGAGATTAAAATTTTACCTGGGCAATCTGTTTTTAAACAATCCTGGCCGTACGTTCTTCAATTCACCATCCGATCAAGGCATTAAAAAATCCAACTGACCACGGTTCAAAAATTAACGATGGTCAAAATTATGACTGAATCACCCTTATGAACGAAACATTTTATTGATTCAATTAAAATAATAGTTTAATCAACCGCTCATAGGTTGGGTCGATTTTCAATACCATATTTCTAGTTCAAGAAAAAACGTCAACTATCAACAATTCCAGCAAAAACACCGTTATTCTTGAATTTTATTGAGCGTTCATCGTACTTGGTTCTAATTATTGTGATAAAATTTGAATCATTTAAAATTTATTTAGACAATTCAAATTTTAAATTTTAAATTTATGATTGTTTTTAAATGGTAAAATCATTTTTTTTGAAGATGTAACAATCAAAAAAATTATTTTCAGTTTCAAATTTCGTACATATCAAGATAATAAAATATTGAAAATACAATAGTAAAATTAAATTTCATGCTCATGCTCATGAAATGTGCTCTATGATTGGTTCTGCAAAACTGGTAATAAGTAGAGAAAAGAAAATAAAAGAAAAGTGGGGAAAGAAATGAAATAACCCTTCTTTTTTAAATTTAGCTTGCAACAAACATGCAAGGAAATGGACTCACCTTCTCTCCTTTAAGCCCCTCCAATGCATCTCAGATGAGGGCAAGATCTGGACCGTCCAATAGATAGTACAGCAATGCAAGTCTTGGCAAGGACTGGCATACATGCAGACTTTGGAAGCTGAATGTAAATTAATCAGAAAATAGAAATTCTTTCAATTTCATATATAATAATGAGGAAGAGAGGGATGAAGAGCATGGAGGAGAAAGAGGAGTCATGTTGATATGCCTGCACAACATAACAAAGCTGTTCTTGGTGAAGCCATAAAAAGTTCGTTCAATAATATAATGAAGCTCCTTGCCTAAAGGCAACAAAAACTAGGAACTTTTTTTTTTTTTTTGTAGGTAGGTTCTATCCATAATTATATTTCAATCTAAAGTAACTATCCTTTTGTACACGATGCCATCACATGCAATCATACGTTTTTTTATCAAAGGACTTTTCCCTAACTCATTTTGGGAATGGCCCATGCTATGTAATTTCAGGTTTTAATTAATATACTATGTTCCTCTTAACAATATAAATATAAACATCCTTTGTACTTATGGTTAATTTTGTATTTATTTTGGTTATTAATTTAATTTTTAAAACAATTAATTTTTTTTATATTTTGTTATTTTTAACTGAAGACAAATATGTTCTGGGTAAGTTCAGCCATTTTGCGTTTGGCATGCTGGATTGTCTGTTGAGTCTGAAAGAAATGTTCTTAATATTAATTTTTGTCGAACGATTGTGGCTGCTGGAGTAGTTCAGTTGGTTAGAGCGTGTGGCTGTTAACCACAAGGTCGAAGGTTCAAGCCCTTCCTCTAGCGATTTCTTTAATTTTTTTTTAACTTTGAGACCCACAGCCCAACTCATCTTCACATATATCCGATAAGATACAAAGCAGCCACACAGCATCTCTGCTGAAGCCAAATATCCTTTCTTCGACATATTTAAAAAACCAACCTTTTCGTGTCCTCAATATATCAAAAATGGGACTTCTCAGTCTCCAACTCAGCTCGCACTCTTTATGCTCCTTATCACTTTCCCAAAACTTAAAATGCACCACAAAGCTTAACAAATCCCTAAACGCCTTCAACTCTAAGCGTCCCAGCTCTGTCAGAACCACAATTAGAGCTGTTGGCACTGTCCCAGGGAGGGAATCTCAGGACACTGAACCAGCAGAACCACCCTCTATTGGATTTGCATTTGTCAGTGTAAGTTAAAGACAGTGTATGTGATTTTACATTCAAAATTAGCAACTTTCTTCGTACCAGAAGAAAAAGAGCAAATTGGGTCAATCCTATTTAATTTTCTGGGTTGGCTTTTAGTCTGTTTTGCTTCCAGATGGAACCCCAGATGTGCAATATCGAACGGCTTGTGGTGGCCAGAAGCTCAGGAATATAATGATGGATGCCAACATTGATCTGTACGGACCATATGTAAGCTTTGAAATATCTTCCACTTTGTATAGATCAATCAGCTATCACTTTATGGTTATATCTTGTCTTTTGCTAAATAACAAGTATTTTATGGTATTAAACTTGTATGCGTAAATGATAGATGGCACAATGAGAGTAAATTAAATTCGGTTGAAATCTCAAGGATAAACTCTAATTCATCCTTAATTATATTATTTTCCTTTCAGGCTAGACCTCTCTTGAATTGTTCAGGAGGTGGAACTTGTGCAACATGTATGGTAGAGGTGGGCAAATAACTTCCATTACCTATTACCTAGTATTACCATTAGTTGTAATTGCGCTAAACACTGGTGATTAACTTGTTAATTATTGCTAGATTATTGAAGGGAAGGAGCTTCTAAGCCCTCGCACTGATAAAGAGAATGAAAAACTTAAGAGGGTAAATGTTTTGCTAATCACATTGATTTTGTCTTTAGCTTGTTTTCCCTTGAATTCTTAGTTCTGTTCAATGGGTGTTTTCAGAAACCAAAGAATTGGAGATTAGCATGTCAAACTACAGTTGGTCAAGCAGACTCGACAGGGATGGTTTGTGATTTTTTACTCACATACTATATAATATTCCTAATCTTTAATGGATTGGACTTTTCATGGCTCTAAATACATTAGAACAAAAGCGCTTGATTTTTTTGTCAGAAAAAAAATGATAATCTGTTGTTACCTTTTCCTTGTGTGTGTTTGAATGCAGCTTGTGGTTCAACAATTACCAGAATGGAAAGGGCATGAATGGAAATATGAAAAGCTATCTCTTGAAGAGGCTGAAAAGTTATTGTCTTCATATGAGGCTCAGTAGCATAAAACAATTAAGAAAAATATTTGAAACGTGTAAGAAAGAGTGGTAGTATTCTGTTTGAAGGCGCTTCAATCAAGAAAGATCATGAAATTATAAAACAAAAGAATCAGAGGCTTGACAGTTGACACAATATTAAGTAGTCCCTCATCCATTTGAACTTTGGCTCAATTAGGGGTATGGTCGACAATTCACATCTGTACTGTCTACCAATATTTCTATATAGAATTTTTGAGTTTTCAAGCAGTGGTAAAGCTTTTCCTTGAGCAAGAAATTCTCATGACTTTGGAATACTTACGTTAGAGCTTCCTTCTCTAATTCTGCCACTTTCATTTATCAGTTAGTCATTTACTTACATCTCTCCGTATTTAAAGTACACTAAACCAAATTAATAATGGGGTCTTGCCATGACTTTCTTCTCTTTTATGGCCATGGGGTCTTGCCATGAGACCACGTGCTTTCTTTAGGAAAGAGAGTTTCTTGGCATTTGGTAAGATGCCAAACATGGACTTGGGGTGTCTCCTATTCTCTCTATTGCCCCTTCTAATGTCTTAAATCTTAGCCTTTAATTGGGCTAGTGATCAAAAGCAATTTCATCTGATTCTCTCAAATGAAAGGCTGGGATTTTGGGGGGAGCGGTAGAGAGAACAGCAAACACCCCAAATTTGCCAAATACACAACGGAGGATAGAATGACCGTTCCCTTGGCCAAGGGTGAAAATATATCCTCTATGTGCGTGTGAAAATGGATCTTTTCGTGTATACACATACCATAAGAGTGACAGAATCATCAAAATTAAAATAGCTGAAATTTTTCTTGTCACAAATTATCTTGAGTAGCGCTACAAATTTGAAATATCAATTTTATACTTTCACAAGACAATGCCGTTCAAGGTATTTTTTAGGATACTCAGGGCGTTTTTGCAGTGAACTAACAAAGGCAAGCCAAAACTTTTTGGGTGCAAGAGAAAACACGAAGAAACAAGTAACACCTGACTGCATATGGCTAACTCTTCCCAATGGAAACATGGAGCAAACTATATATACTCCCTCCATCCTTATATGTAAAGTATTTTTAATCGAATTCTACTTATCAATAAAGATTTATTATTTAGTTGAATTTACATAAAAATATAATAATCTTTTAATCATAGTTAATATCATGATGATAATAGAGAAAACATATAATTAATAATCTATTCTATTTTTTAAGATAAAAATAAAATTATTTAATTACTCAAAAATATCATTATCACCCCTTATATTTAAAAATAAAAATAAGTTTTTAAAAAATACCTTATATATAAGGACGGAAGGAGTAGCACATTACTAAATGTCTGAATCAATAAAACTATATGGAATAAAGATACATAACAAATAATGTAATGTTCACTTATTTACGAATATAAATGAACAGAATGCACTTAATTATCATTATCAACAATGATTATAATGTTAAAATGTCAAGTATGAAATTGACTTGATATAAAAAGTCCTACATTATTTGCTAAAGTATATGTTTATATTTAATGTCTAATCATATCTTAAATAGAATCACATATATGCTCAGTAAAAAAAAAAAGAAGTTCTACATTTTATAGAATTTGATTTAATTAAAGGTACAAGAGTGAAACAAAACATAAATTTAAAGTTCTAAAACTTTAAATTAAGACGTGATATTGAACCCGCAGCCTCCTTCCCTTATCCTTTTCATTTAGTTATATTATTTACCTTTTTTTTAGAATCCTCGTTTCTTGTTCCATTTGATCCAAACAAATGGTATCAAAAACCCTAATTACATGAAGGGACTGTGGCTTGAGCTGAAATTGGACCAAGCTCATAAACCTACTTTACTTTTTCTAAACCAAGGCAAAACGCGTGCCATGTGCACCATATTCTCTTCTCTCTCTCCTTTGAAACCTTTCTTTTTTTATTTTGGCTTTTCCCTTTGGATAATGATGAAAACTATAAAATATGGATACTTTAAATTATAATATTTTAGACTTGTATCATTTATATTTTATTTTTGCATTTGTATTATTCAGTTTAATATGATCATTTAAACAGTTATTTGTGATCTTTTAGAATATATATATATATATATATATTCATGATTAGAAACTTAAATTTAAAAAATAAAAAGATTTTAGTCCTTTGATCCTATTTATGCAATAAAGAGAAGTTAATTTTAATCCTATTTATATGACATTATTTGTTTATATTCATTTGACCTTTTTCCCTTATAAAATGCATAGGAAAATTATTAAAAATATTTTTTCTTTGTTCTTATTAAGAGGTAAATGTAAGAACTTATTAAATCTAAGACAAAATTAATAAAACTTAAAATTTTTTTATTTTAATAAAATATATTAAAAATAATTTATAAATAAATAACAGGAAGTGCTTGGTTTGCTAATTTTTTTTTTTTTGGGTTCTTAGAGGTAAATATGAGAACTTATTAAATTTTAGACAAAATTAATAAAATTTAAATTTTTTTATTCTAATAAAATATATTAAAAATAATTTATAAATAGAATGACATGGAGTGTTTGTTTTGGGCAACGACTTTAAATCCAATCATTTAGATCAAACTGTTAGACACAAACAGTCGATGGGATGAGTATCAGATCCATGTTAATAGCATAATTATTATTATTATTATTATTTTGAATAAGTGCAGAAATCTCATTAATAAGGAAAGTAAAACAAGAATAACCACCTAAATAAAAGTAAAAAGCAAACAAAATTAAACCTATAGAGCACTTCATAGATTATCTATTTAGTGGCAAATCAAAAAAATGTTAAAGCATTAGGTATGGAATGACCCGACTTAGCAAGAAAGTCGGCCATTCTAATTAACGGCGTGATTTTAATTTTTAACCAAGAGCAAAGGAGAAAAAGAAAAGAGATCGAGGGAAAAGAAAAATGGATCAAAACCGTCTTTACAAAATAGAAACAAAACAGAACCGAGACAGCGTACGAAAAAGGAGAAAAGAAGAAGGAAAATCAAAAGAAATATGGCTTTCCTCCTTTTTATTCAGAAAAACACGAATTTCAAGCCCCACAACTCCAAACAAATCAGTATTCGCTAGCCAGAGGAACGTGATCAGTACTAATGAACACATTCCCGTAGATCAGACCGGCGAGGCCACCGCCGACCAAGGGTCCAACCCAGTAGATCCAGTTGCCGTGGAAGTCGCCGCTCACTACTGCGGGGCCAAAGGAGCGAGCAGGGTTCATTGACCCACCGGAGAATGGTCCGGCTGCCAAGATGTTGGCTCCCACGATGAATCCGATGGCTATGGGTGCGATTGTGCCCAATGAGCCCTTCTTGGGGTCGGCTGCTGTGGCGTACACTGTGTAGACCAATGCGAATGTGATGATGATCTCCATCACTACTCCTTCAGCAGCTCCAACTCCTGCAGCTACACTGTGGATGGGGATCGTCTGACAAGAAAGTAATCACAGTTCTTATTCATATTCAAGTCAAACACGTAGTAGATTAAGACTATCTTTAGCTTGTTATTCAGATTTCTAAGATATGCAGCTATCCTCTTGTTTTATGCATGAAGCTTTTGATACAAGTTAGAGAATCTCCAAGAAAATTCTTATAGCGCAGTCTCAATAAGGTCCTAGGTTCAAACTTGTTATACTGCGCTTAATAACGGGATCAAGCCTTTGGGATAAAAAAAGTTTGCCACAATGAGTGATTGAATGGTACAGATGTTTTAAGGCTAAGACTTACCAAGGCTCCAGTGACGAACTTGAGCAGTAAGCATGCCACAATGGAGCCAAGAAGCTGAGCAATCCAATAGAAGATACCAGTGAGGATGGTGATCTGGCCACCAAGAGCCAATCCAAAGGTGACAGCTGGGTTGACATGACCACCTGAAATGTTGGCACCAACAGAGACAGCTACAAAAAGAGCAAAACCATGGCATACTGCAATGGCTACCAAACCAGCAGGATCAAGAGCTGCATCTGATGTCAACTTCCCTGAAGTACACATCACCACAAACCAAATTGTCAGAATTTCGTGGGATGTAAGGAAGCAGAACAAGCTGAATTGTTGATTTTCAATATGTCTCTCTCAAACTCTAAGTGTCTGCAAGAGGATTCATAAATTGATATATATGTGTATGTAAACATGAAGGGTTAGCAGTTAGTACCATAGGCTATGGCTGAGCCAACACCAGCAAAAACAAAGAGCAATGTGGAGATGAACTCAGCAATATAGGCCTTAATGGAGATCGAGTTGAAAGAATCATCAAAGCGTCCAAAGGATATGCCTGCCATCTTTCAGAAGTTAAAGATAAGAAAGTGAAATATTCAGATTAAGGAGTGCTGCTCAAAAGGTCTCTCTGGTACGACATATATATAGTAGAAATTACCTAGGGTATTAAGGACTTACTATAGCTTCATTAATTTTACTGTAGTACTGTGCTGTAGTATATGTGGTTTTGGAAGTTAAAAAGGAATATGGTTGGATGGCCCAGGAAAAAAAAAATAAAGGGAAGACGGTTGGTTTACAACATATCCATGCACATCCAATCAGGTTTCTTCTGGCAACCTTAGCTGTCACTAACATGCTTTTATTAAAAAGTGTCTGGAAGCTAATAAATTATTCCTCCATGTGCATATGAGATAGGGATAGAAGTGGTGTTCGATCAACAGATCATAAAAGAACAGGAAAGTGGAGGACATGAATAGCTTTTGGCCACATATAGCCTAGACATACTCTAAAAACATGGCAAAGGTAGTGGAATTTGAAAATGGGTGGATATAAATTAATGAGAGTTTTTTTTAATAGTGATCAGTAAATAGTAGTAGAATTATGTAACAGAAATGTTTGGCTTTGTTTGTTTAATGCAGGATAAAGCTTTTCCCCAAAAAATAGCTGCTTCGCCTTCATGAGTATATTTTTTCATACGTGATTCACTGATTCTCCGGTGATGTAGACGAAAATTTTAATTGAAACGTCTGCTATTGAATGTTCAGTTAGGAGGCACAAACCATTCTGAGCTCAGTTTTGAACAAAATTTTGAGCGAGAAGTGTATGAAAAATAGTTGTTAATCAAGTTAGTTAATAATACTAACTTTAAAAGGCAGCAGCACAAAAAACTCGACCCTAGTTTCATTTAGATTAAGCACACCAGCTAATCAAAGAGTTTTGTGTCTAATGTAGTTTTCTGAGAACTGAGAAGGTGAGACTTTTCCATATAATGCCATTGAAGCAGCTCATGTTTGTCTTAATTGCTCTTTATGGGCCATTACCTAATTGGAATCTTTACCTGGCAACCGATGCTAGATAAGATAAACTAATCGAAATCTTACAAGCTTAGAACATTTTTTTTTTTAAACAACAGCTGATTACTTGTATGTTCATGCATCATAAGTCGGAATCCTGCTTAGGAAAAGATTAACTCCATCTAGTTTTGCCTTCTTTCCAAACTTTTCAGATCATAATAGTCAATTCAAATTTGAATTGCACATCATGACAGCGAATTCTGATATAAATCGTTGTCTGATGATATAATATACTGTTGAACGGTGGTATGCTTGTGTTTGTAATTCAAGTATCTAGTGAACATCATTTTACCATGGCATTAATATTTCCTGTGTTACCAGATCTCATTCTATATGCACAAAAGTAGGGGCAGAAAGCAAAATAGTCTGGGTATTTTTTTCCCCTTCAACTTCCATAGTCACCAAGTGAAAGCCTTATCTGTTATAAAAGTCTGAATATGTTTTTTTTTTTACCCAAAAAAAGTCTGAATATTTTTTTAATGTACAGAGTACGTGAAGAGTGACGTTATGATCCAATCAGCAGTGAGACACATGGTGACAACTCATTGGCCCAAAAAAAATTTATTTGAATATGCAAAGAGTCAATTGCACATTTCCACTCAAAAAAACTGCCAACAACTCAACAAGGAGTTGTGAGTGGGACACCAATTTGTAGCAAAGCAAGGTCCGGCCAAAAGTATGGATGCTTAACAAGGCTAACAAAAAGTAAGACCGAAAACATTGTACCAACCCAATTTTGGAGGCTCTTGTGATGAGTTCGGTGCTGATAGAATTAGACCATCATTTTTTATCACATATTCAGAAAATGATTGCGCTAGCTAGCTCACCAGTCATGCTAATTGTGAAACATTCAACACAACGATTTTACATATTCCATCTCTTATATGCAAGATCTTTCTAAGTTATAATATGATCTAGTTTGTTATTTTGTACATGACTTATATCATGGCCTTATATTAAAAAAAAAAAAAGGAATTTCACTAACCTCAATTCAAACTTCTATCATTTTTCCCTTACGCATGATACATCAGACAGATGGAGATGAAATTCTCTTGGAAGGAGGAAGAGAACAAAAAGTTTCACATTATAGCCAGGGAAGAGAATGATTGCATTGGTTTGTCAAACTGTAAGTAAAGCATTCCAGGTTTCTATTTTTTGCAGCGTACTTCCTGTATTTATATATAAAAAGTCTTTTAGAATTTTTTTTTATCTCTAAATATGAGAGGTTGTTAATATATTTTTTAATGAATGGACCATTATATCCTTATTAAATTGAAAAGAAAAAAAAAAGATAACTACCCTCATTAATTTACTTTGAAAAAAGATTTATTTTTTTATTTGCAATAATTAAGGGCAAAATTAAAATGTTGTTATGCTTTTAATTACATAACAAACTTTTATTAATTTACATAATTTAATTAAAAAATATCTTATATATAGAGATGGAGGGAGTAACATCAACGTAAAAAAAATAAGATAATTTTTTTCATATTTTACTGATTCCTTTTTCTTACAATTTATGAATCAGATTGTGAACTTCTTTTCCTCTCTTTCTTTCTTTCTTTCTTTTTTTCCCCCACTTGATCACTCCCCAAAGTATGTCTTTGCTTCAACATTCATCCTCTCAATGTATTCTTAAAAGTTATAACTTCTTCATCCCCTTTTCATTAATTTACTTTGGAAAAAGATTTTTTTATTTATAATAATTAGGGACAAAATTAAAATATTGCTGTGCTTTTAATTAAATAATCAACTTTTATTGATTTGTATAATTTAATTAAAAATATCTTATATATAGAGGTAGAAGAAGTAACATCAAGATAAAAAAATAAGGTAGCTTTCTCCATATTTTACTAATGCCTTTTTCTTACAATTTATGAATCAGATCCTGAACTTCTTTTTCTTTCTTTCTTTCTTTTTCCCCACTTGATCACTCCCCAAAGTATGTCTTTGCTTCAACATTCATCCTTTCAATGTATTCTTAAAAGTTATAACTTCTTCGTTCCCTTCCCCCTAAACTTAAAAATTTTGCCCGAAATCATTTTCTCTTCTATATATTAACTAGTACGGCACCTGTGCGATACATGAGATGTTACCAAATAAATTTAAATATTTAAAATGAAATCTTAACATATTTATTATCATCATTTTACAATACAAAAAATGGACAAAAATCATGTTACACTGACACAAAATCTTAGTGCTATTAGATGTAGTGTAGAAATATGTCAGATTTATTCGTAGTACAAAATGTCATCAACGCGTGAATGATGTCAATGTGGGTATGGTTCCTTGTAAAATGGTATGAAATTAATTTAAATTTTCTATAATATATGATAATGCAAAAATTCTCATAATAAGCACTATTTCCACGAATATGTACAATCAAAGAATCATTTAACAGCTAAAATAAACCAATCCGCATAATTTCATTAAAAAAAAGGTTTAAAGGGAAATTTTGTTCGGAAAGTTTTTTGTTGGAAACAATTGGTATCTTTTGGGATGAAGAGAAAATATGAAATGAAAGAAAACTAAGGAATAAAACATGAGAGAAAATAATTTTTCTCATGTTTGAATGAAGAAAGAAAAGTGGGAGAAAAAAAAATGCAAAATGGAGTTTGAAACCCACTAGATTTTCTTCTCAAATTTTCTTTCTACACGTGGAGAGATTTTTAAAAAAATTCTTCTTCCATGCGTACGCTTGCTCTCAAGCTTCTTCTTGGTCTTCTCCTTCCTAACACAGACAGCATTCAACTCAAGCAACGCTTTCTTCTTCTCACAATATTAACTTGGACCAAAAAACTGTTATTGTATTTAATTTTAACAAATTACATACTTCTAATTTTTTAAATAAAGAAATAACAAATTTTTACTAAATTATTTCATATTAAATTATAATAAAATGAAAATACATTATTTATCAACTAATTTGATTTTAAATTATTTTGGTGTTGTTAATTTTAATATAATTTTTTCAACTTATTTTATGAAGACAATTATATGAAACATGATATATCTTAATATTAGGATGTTATTGTCATTATAATGTATGCGCATTTTCTTTCCTCCTAATTTTTCTTATCTATCTAAATACTAAAAAGTGATAATATTTTTTTTTTCAATTTCTATTACATCCATTTTTTGTCCTCTCATTTTCTTTTTTGTTTTTTAACTTTTCTTCTCATCCAAACAAAAGGTAGCTTTTATATTGGAGCAATGTTAACTGAAAAGTTTAAAAAATGGTGCAATGTCACCATACAATAACAATTGACTAACATTGATTGTTATTTTGAATGTTAAAAAATAATTTTGCCTTGAAAGTTTGTCTGAAAGAGTACTTAGTATTCCAAATTTTTAATTGGTGCAATGTTTTTAAATTATTGACTTTTAAATCGAAATAAGTATCTAACATACTTGTTAAGACCCAAAATAGGAGAAAATTTTAAGTTGAATTACGTTGAATATCTCTAAATCATAATTCAACTTAGTTTATGTTACCCATAACCATGTTTGAAAAAGTCTACATATAAGCTTGTGCAAGCCAAGAACTACTAATGGGCAAAATAAAAGCAAGTTCGAACTTGAAAAAAAAAGTATGATGAAGTGTTTGGAGTAGAGTTAATATTGCATCAAAACAAACTTAGGCATCACTTTTTGTCAAAATCCAAAAATAATACTTTTTTAAAACTAATAATAGGTTGTTAAATTTTTTTTTAAATTTGAATATTGATAATTCAAAAATATTACACCAATGAAAATTTTAAAATATCAATTATTCTTTAAGAGAAACTTTCAAAATAAAATTGCTCTTGAGGCTCATGTAGAATTTTTAACTAATAGTAAATGTTGATTAACCATGAAGCAGCATTGTTCTATTTTTAAAATTTTTGAAAGTTAAGAATATGAATTGCAAATTTTGCCCTTTAACCTCAAAAAAATTAAAACACACAATTATCTAAGGATGTGAGGTCTATACAAGTTCCTTAATTTCAGCTCCAACTTTCTATGATCCAAATCAGTTTTTTTTTTTAAAAAAAAAAAAACATTAGCA